CCCCTAATTTGCACCCCAACCAGGGCTGAGCTGCCTCCATTCTGCCGGCAGCAAAAACTGTCACCAACAGCTGTCCCCATGTCCCCACATGGCTCTTTCCCCCTCCCCTCCCATCACCCCCAGTCTGCGTCCTGTCCATACCAGTGCCAGAGCCCTCTCTGTCCCGTTTTGGGTCATGACAGCCCCTATGCCACCCCCCCAAAATTGTGACATTCCCCCCGTTCGCGGCAGGGCCATCCGCTACCTGAGCAAGCGGCGACAGGAGCGCATCCAGCTCATCGGGGACCTGCTGCACCGGGAGGGCTTCGACCTGGCGCTTCTGCAAGAGGTGAGGGCGGTCAGTGAGATGAGTGTGCCCGTTCTCAGCCCGGGAGCAATGAGATGAGTTTGCCTGTTCACAGCCTGTGAGATGAGTTTGTCCGTTCTCAGCTCTTGATATGAGCACGCCCGTTCTCAGTCCATGAGATGAACATGCCCATTCTTAGCCCATGGGATGAGTGTGTTCGTTCTCAGCCCATGTAATGAGTGTGCCTGTTCTCAGCCCATGAGATGAGTTTGCCCATTCTCAGCCTTTGATGTGAGCATTCCCATTCTCAGCCCATGAGATGAGTTTGCCCATTCTCAGCCCTTGATGTGAGCATTCCCATTCTCAGCCCATGTAATGAGTGTGCCTGTTCTCAGCCCATGAGATGAGTGTGCTTTTTCTCAGCCCATGAGATGAGCATTCCCATTCTCAGCCCATGAGATGAGCATGCCCATTCTCAGCCCGTGAGATGAGTGCACCCGTTCTCAGCCCATCCTGCTGTTCTCCAGGTGTGGAGCGAGCAGGACTACAGTGACCTAAAGGCGAAGCTGGGAAGCTGCTACCCCTTCTCCCATTACTTCCGCAGGTGAGAGGGGCTGGGTCAGTGCCCCCTCGGGGTGTTCCTGGTGTGGTGGCAGGGCTGTGCCATGTGTGTTTTGCCACATGGAGAGACCTATGCAGGTGCTGTGCATCACCTCTGTCACCCCATGTGTGCAGAGCAGGATGCTCATGGGAGCACACTGAAACCCAGGCATTTGGGGACCCTCCCTTGGCTCAGGGCTGGGGGGAAACAGGGGAGCAGGGGCCACATTTCCTCACTGTGCTTTCCCCCCCGCAGCGGGGTGATCGGCAGCGGCCTCTGCGTCTTCTCCAGGTTCCCCATCCTGGACACCCTCCTTTACCAGTACTCACTCAACGGGTACCCCTACATGGTAAGTGGGGTGGGGGGATGTGGTACCCACCCCTGCAGACCCTCACCCACCCTGACCCACTCCTCTTCCCTTGACAGCTCCAGCATGGGGACTGGTTCTGCGGCAAATCCGTCGGCCTCGTCATCCTTAAGATTTCGGGGATCCTCTTCAACGTCTACGTCACCCACGTGAGCGCCCTTGGGTGGGGAGATGAAGGGTGGACAGCAAGTGGGGATGATGGAAAGGGAGGGGGATGAGTGGCCATGCTCCCCATTGCTGTCCCTTTACTCTGCACCATCTCACCTTGGGACCATGCACTGATTTAATGAACTATTGCTCTGGGGGACACACACAGTGCCCCACAACCTGGCTGTGAGTGGGGTGAGCATCCCCGAGGGGGTGGGATGAGGACAGTGGGGGTCGGCCAGACCCCAAAGGGACCATCTAGAGGGGCTGGGATGTGGGTAGATGCTGGCATGGGGAGGGTCATGACCATTTTGTGTGTCCCCCCACCAGCTGCACGCCGAATACTGCCGGGAGAAGGACGCCTACCTGCCCCACCGCCTGGTGCAGGCCTGGGAGCTGGCCCAGTTTATCCGGTGAGCGGCCATGGGGTAGCCTATGTGGTCCCCCCCAGTGCTGTGGGTCCCCAGGGTACTCACGGTCACCCCTACCCCTGGCTCTGAGGAGGGATTTACACTTTGTGGAGATCCCAGTCGCACCAGTCCCAGCCAGGAATAAGACTGGGGAGCGCGGGGGGATGCCCAGTCACACCAGTCCCAGCCAGGAATAAGACTGGGGAGCGCGGGGTGGGTTACCCCGGTGCCCCCACCCCACCCCGGGGCAGATGGGGAAGGGGCTGAGCTGCCCCCCTCCCCCCCAGCCACACCTCGAAGGCAGCCGATGTGGTGCTGCTGGGGGGGGACCTGAACATGCACCCCGAGGACGTGGGCATCCGCCTGCTGCGGGGCTGGACGGGGCTGCGGGACGCCTTCGCCGAGGCCACGCACTTTGAGGTGAGAGATGGGGGGGTGAACAGGGTCCTGGGGGACCCCCAGAGCAACCCCCAAACCCACCCAGGTGCTTGGTTTCAGGGCTGTGAGGACGGCTGCACCCTCATCCCCAAGAACTGCTTCACAGTCAAGGCAGAGCTGCTGCCCTTCCCGCTGGGCATCCGCATCGACTACATCCTCTACAAGGTAACGGGGGCCATTGGCTACGGGTGGCAAAGACTGGGGTGCTGATGTGACCCCCAAAAACCTCTACACCCCTCGCCCAGGCCAGCTCCAGCTTCACGGTGACGTGCGAGGAGCTGAGGACCACGACGGGGACAGCCCCAGGCAGGGACATCCCCTTCTCGGACCACGAGGCCGTGATGGCAACGCTGCTCATCCGCAGGCAGGGACGGGCTGTGGGTGCTGCCCCCAGCACTGACGGTGAGGTTTGGGGGTGCTGCTGGGGTGCTCCGTGTGCTGGGGGGGTGCTGGGGGGGGTGTGGGGGGTTGGTGGGTGGTGATGGAGTTGGATGGAGGTTTTGGGGATGTTTCCCCTTGCTTAGGACATCCCTTTGGGATCAAGATGGAGTTCTTGGGGATGTTGCCCATTGATTAGGGCATCCCTTTGGATGATGATGGAGTTTTGGGGGATGTTCTCCTTTGCTTAGGGCGTCCCTTTGGGATGGGATGGAGTTTTGGGGATATAGCCCCTTGCTTAGGGCATCCCTTTGGATGGAGTTTTTGGGGATATTCCCCTTTGCTTAGGGCATCCCTCTGGGGGAGATAAAAATGGAGTTTTGGGGGATGTCCCTCTTGCTTAGGGCATCCCTTTGTGGAGATGAAGATGGAGTTTTTGGGGATGTTCCCCTTGCTTAGAGCATCCTTTTGGTGAGGGGGGATGGAGTTTTTGAGGATGTTCCCATTGATTAGGGCATCCCCTTGTGGGGGATGGAGTTTTTGGGGTTGTTCCCCCTTGCTTAGTGAATCCCTTTGGGATGGGACAGGATGGAGTTTTTGGGGATGTTCTTCTTGCTTAGGGCATCCCTTTGGGTGGGATGAAGATGGAGTTATTGGGGATGTTCCCCTTGCTTAGGGCATCCTTTTGGGGATGTTTCCCATTGATTAGGGCATCCTCTTGTGAGGGATGGAGTTTTTTGGGGATGTTCCCCCTTGCTTAGTGAATCCCTTTGGGATGGGATGGGGTTTTGGGGGATGTTCTCCTTTGCTTAGGGGATCCCTTTGCGGGGTGGAGTTTTTGGGAATGTTCCCCTTTGCTTAGAGCATCCTTTTGTGGAGATGGAGTTTTTGGGGATGTTCCCCTTGCTTAGGGCATGGGGGATGAAGATGGAATTTTTGGGGATGTCCCCCTTGCTTAGGGCATCCCTTTGGATGGAGTTTTTGGGGATGTTCCCCTTTGCTCAGAGCATCCCTTAGGAAGGGGTTGCTGATGAAGGCTCAGGGCTGAAGATGAGGTGAAAACGAGCACAGGCTGCACCCCTCTGAGCCCTCCCCATCCCCTCACAGAGCCGGCGCTGGCGGAGGTGGTGACGGAGGCGCGGACGGAGGTGAGCGTGGGGCTGCGGGCGGCGCGGCAGCAGCGTTACTCCAAGGGCAGGATGGCGGTGCGGGCCCTGCGGCTGCTGCTGCTGCAGCCCACGGCCGCCCTGGGCGCGCTGGCGGGGCTGGGGGCCCAGCAGCCCTTCCCCAAGCTGTCCTTCTCGCTGCTGGCCTTCCTCGCCGTCGGCATCCTCCTCCTCGCCACCGCCCTCCACCTCTTCCACACCATGGAGGTGAAGAAGCTGCAGGGCACCGAGGAGCAGATGGGGATGGCGCTGCGGGCGCTGCGGGAGCGACCCAGCGACGGCTGACGCGGGGACGTGGGTGTCCCACGATGTCGTCCCCCCCCCAACCCATCCTGACCCTTTCAGGTCCTGGTTTTTTAGCTGACTGATGTAGGCTCCGTGTGCGGGTTCGACAGCCGCCTCGTGGCGTGAAATAGGATTTTTTTGAGGCACATTTGTCGTGGTGGCCCCTGTGGGAACCACGGGTTTTAATTGCTGGGTTTTTAATGCATCTTTTCTACCTTTTGGGACCTGCCAGCGGGGCTGGGAGGCTCTGGAGGCTCAGCCTCTCCTTGCCCAGAGCTCCTGGCGAAAACTGGCAACCCCAGCAACCAAATTTGACTTAGACAGGAAATAAAGGTGGTGTTTTTAGCCCTTGGCGCCGGGTCAGGGAGGTTTTATTTGAGGGATTTGGGGGTTTGCAGCAGGATGATAGGGTTGAGAGCAGGGGGCCCATGCCCAGGACCCCCTTCCCCATCATGGGGAGCTGGGGCTGCTGTAAGCACCATTCAGCTTTGGGGGTCACCCGCCAACAACCGGAGACCCCAGAAAGACTGGCAAGGGCTGTGCAAAGGCTGGTTTGGCATCACCAAGCAGTAGAAAAAAACTCTAAGGGGGAAGGAGGACACAGACGCCAGCGTCCCTTGTCCTCGGTGTCACATCAGTGCTGGCCCTGAGCAGAATCCCCTTTTTTTGCTGGGCAAAAAGCCCCTTCCTGGTCCTGGGGTCTTGCAGGGAGGTTTCTGACCCCGGTTTCCCGCAGTGGCAGGGGACAGCTTGGACGTGGGACCTAAAAACAGTGATGGAGAGCGGGGGCATCAGCCCAGGCTGTTGCTGGCCCTGCCTGTAGAGCCCGATGGCCATGGAAGAGATGGATGGCCCAGGCTGGGATGGGTGTCCGGGGTTAGGATGGGTGGCCCCAGCTGGGATGGGTGTCCTCAGATGGCCGTCATATCCTGGCGTGACTTCCAGGGGCTACTCCTGAGGCTCCCCTCCTTTGGCATCCCCACTGTGACCCGCCTGCCCTCGGGGACACAGGGCTGGCCGGGTCCTGATGGAACCTGGCCCAGGGCAGCCAGGGGTGCAGCTCAAGCACCAAACACTTTGGATGTCCCCTCAAAACGGTGACGGCTGCAGGAGCCCCTACAGGGGGCTCCTACCCTGTGGAGCTTCCTCCTGTAGCAAGAGCTGCCAGAGCCCCCTCTGTCTTTTGTAGCCCCCACAAGTCTTGTTTTCAAGCAAGCACAAGGCAAACACGATCCAGCCAAGCGTGGGGACGCCCTCTCTGCAAATCCCAAATCCAGGCTCTCCCCACGCAAGCATCCAGCCCCTCACTGTGGCTTTGGGGACCTGGATTTGCCGCAGCAGCTCAGGCATCACCGCCCGCAGAGGCAGCTCAGGGCGATGCTCAGCCGGGGCGGGGGACACCATAGGTGCCCCCCGGGGAGGAACCGGTGGGGCTCAGGCCTGCATCTCGCTGAGCCGCTTCTCCTCCTGGATGTGGATGAGGACGTTGCGCTTGTTCACCACCTCCAGCAGCTGCTCCAGGATTTCCTGCTCGGCCGCACGATCCTGGGGCGTCTTCAGGGCTTCTGTGGGAGCAGGGAGCTGGAGCGGGGCTGGAGGGGGACACAGGGATGCCCCCATCCCGGCACATGTAGGCACTCACCTTCCTTGTTCATGTAGCCCCGGAGCTTCTGGTCCAGCTGCCACTGCTGCTCCTGCAGCTTCTGCTCCTGCACCCTGCAGGGGAGAAAAGGGGGTGCTGGGCTTTGGGGGGTATTGGGGTGAGCCCCTGTGCTGACCCGGGAGCATCTCCCCAAAAAGCCTTACGCGATCATGAGGTCGGACTCCTCGGACAAGAGGTTGTTCTTCTTCTGGACCAGGTACAGCAGCTGGTTCATCCACTGCGTCTTCTGGTCGGCCGGGCCGCCTGTGGGGCAGAGGAGGGGTGTGAGTGGGGCACAGTCACCCCCCTGGTGATGGGGGGGTGGGTCATGGTGTCCCATCCACCCTGGCCTTACTGTCCTCATCCCGGAGTAACTTCTCCAGCTTGATGCCCTGCTGCTCCAGCTCCTGAAATGTCACCTCGATCTCCTCCAGCCGCCTCTGGATGGCCTATGAGGGAACAACAGGGCTTGCCCATGGGCCAGCACCTCCTGGCGTGTGGCCACCAGCCAGGGGATGGATGGGGACAGCGCCAGGGTGGGGACCCGGCTCTCCCCCATGGGGTACCTGGGCTTTGCAGAACCGCTTCATCTGGGCTTCCCTGGCCCGGCGCATCAGCGTGCGGTTCCACGTGGGGTATTTCTCCTCCTCCCCCAAATCCAGGCCCTGCGAAAGGACAGGGACATGGGCACGGGGGTTAAGTCCCTGCACTGGGCACCTCCTGCCCTGGCAGAGCTGGACCCGATGGCTCTGTGAGAGAGGACAATGGCCACCACCTCAGCTGGTGAGGCCACAGCACTCACCGTCTCTGCCACGATGCCAAAGTCGGTGCCTTCCTCTTCCTCCTCCTGCTCCTCCTCTTCCTCGCTGTCGCTGTCCTCCAAAGCTGCCCCAAGCAAAAAGTCATTTGGGGCCAGAGCCTCATGAGCGAGACGGGCATGGCAGGGGATGGAGGGACCTCGAGCTCCAGCTTGCAGCCACCTACCTTCCTCCACGTCCTCCTCCTCCTCATCCTCCCAGATGCCCTGGCTCCGCCATGAGGCAGGGAGAACCTCAGGCGGTGCCTGGAGCCACAGCCGAGCCGGCTTTGGTGGCGGCTCAAGCTCTGCTTCAGTGGTGAGGTTCAGCGTGGACAGGTTGAGCTTCTCCAGGGGCGTGAGGACAATCTTCCTCCTCCCTCCGCTCTCCTCACCCTCCTCTGCCGCCCCTTGGGGCTCTGCTCTGGGACCCTCCTCATCCTCCTCCTCCTCTTCCTCCCTCGCATCCCCCTTGGGCTGCAGCAGCGGCCCCGGGCCCTCCC